CTTGTTTTGAACAGATTAATTCTACAAGTAAGGATCAAATTGTGGTTTCTCTCAACATTTTGCAAGATTTTCTGTTTCAGCCATTTTGGGGAAAAGGAGTAAAGATGATTTGGTGATATTTTGAATTTTTGTTAACAAGTGGCTGGCACTTATGGTTGCTGTCAGTTTATATATTTACTGTGAGCCATTTTAGAGAGGTGAGTTTGTCACAAGTCTCATGCTAATCACTGCTTATCACTTTAGAGAACCAGAAGGCAAGCATCTTAAAAAATGCTTCTTGTGTTTTATCAGCAGCTGCTGGTAAAATTCAGGTGGGAAAAAACGATTGTAAAACACGTCCTTTTAACACACAAGCTCCATCAGATAACTTCTGCCTCTTACTTTCTCTTATAGTAAATGGCTAATTTTGACTTGACCGTGATAATTGTTTCCTTTAAAGGACTTTTTCCTCTCTGCCTTTCCCCTGAGCCAAAAACACTGATGCTAGAAACAGTTTTCCTCTTCCATCTGTCCAACAATATCATGCCTTCCTTCAGTCTGGGAATTGGCTTCCTGCCCTGTCCCAACTTCTTTTTTTCCTTTACTCTTAAGACTCTTGATTATCTCATTCTTGCTCTAATTTTTTCCTCTCCTTTGTCTTCCTGCTTTAATTTACTTCTTTTCCCACTATTTACTTCACTTCTTTCCATGGAGGACATTTGAGATTATCTTTTTTTGGGCTTGGCAGATGTCTCCACAGAATGTCTGTCTTCCCTTTCTTTCCCTAATCCTTCCCACACTCATCTCCTATACTGGCCTCTGTAGTCATTTGTGTTAGCCTTGGTCTCTGGCCTCTTGTAGTCATTTACGTCAGAATGAAATTAATATTTTACTGGATGTCACCTTACATTCATTTTACATTAAGAAGAGTGACAGCAGAATGTGAATGACAGAGAACCATTTGTGGTACTCTCGAGTATTTGAAGTCTTGTACCATGTTTTACTCTCACCTTAGACTCTGTAAGGAGCTTTCTTCCTAATGGGGAAGAAAATCCACACCTATATAATTAAAACCATTACATTAGTGGAATTTAAAAACACAAATGTTGACAGTAGCAGGCTTCAGACCCAAATGGTAATGTATGACCTGCCTTTTAGTTTAGAGGCATGTGTTTGACAGTGGGACATAACTGTTCTCACAACTTCTGATTTTCAATTTTACTCTGTGCCTCACCAAACCTGGAAGTGTCTCACCATTCCCTTTCCTTCTGCTGTGTCCAAGCTAGTGAGTGGAACACTAAAACAAACAGCTCTGATGTTTGCCACTTCTTTATCTGCTTTCATTTGATATCTGCCTGTTTTAAGTCCTTTGCTTCCATCTCTCACAAATCTTCCTTATAAAATATTTTAATCTGTCCTTGTTTGGAAAAACCAATCTCTGACTTCATGCCACCAACTGCTGTTGGGTTGCACAGATGAGCTGGATCCAATGCTCTGCACTCACTCTTTTTCTCTCTGTCTCCCCACCTCCCCATATTATCTTTATGAGCCAAGGAACTTAATTTTCCTAAATAGCACACAAGTACTCTGAGTACTTAAGAGTGCTTTTCATATTGATCTGCCTCTTCATGGACAAACCAACACAACTGAATAAAATCTCCAGTGCTTAATCACTTCTGAAAATAAAATTTTTAACTTGTAGTTTCACCATAGTCATTTTCAGTTTCCAATTGTTGCATATACCAATACCTTAATTTATTAGACCAACAAGCCTATTTTTTTCCTTGTATATGTACTTACACAGTAAGTTCAAATTTTTTTCTTAACCTCCCTCGAAGTTGGCAAATTGGATTGCAGAATCTCTCAGCTATCTTCAAATTCCTAACACTGTAATCCTTGTCATGATACTTTTCTGGATAATTTTAATCAATTTATAAGCAATTTTTGGGTTTTTTTTGAAATAGGAGGCAGATATCTTATTTCACTGTGGTCACTAACAATGCTCCTTATGTAGGGAACACAACATTTCATTGTGTGGAATCTAGTCTGGCTAATTTAAATATCTACTTTAGCTGCTTCATAAAGTTGTCCTGAAGCCAGAATCCAACAAAGTTTTTAAAGAAGAAGAGACTCCTTTGACCATTTCCAGGGAACACTGCTAGAAATTAGAGCTTTAAAAATTCTGCTGTCTCCACTAATGTATGGGGAATTTGGATTTGTACCTGAAGACAGTCCATGATTCTGTTTGAAACATCTGGAAACAATTTATGTGCCTAATTTAGTGTTCTGGATCACGTAATGATTAAGAATGAGGGCATCAAGGTAGCTGACGTTGCCTGAAGTCCAACTCAGACCCACGGTACTCTCTGTGCATGGATACACCATATCGGGATTAAGAATGTAGCTAGTTCTCTTCTTTTAAGAGGTTTTCATCCTAATCCCAGGTGACAAAAATCAAAAAAGGCAGAGCTCCTCATTAACTTTAAATCTGATTTTTTAAACCACTTCTCCCAGTTCCTCCCAGTTTAGGGCTGCCACACGTGGTAAAGGAAGAGGATTGGAAAGCTGAGAAACATTCACTAATATGTATTTACACTAATTGAGATCTCCTCTTCTTCTATAGGTTCATAATATCAAACTCTTACTGGGATTTAAGAGCATCCCACCAGTTACATCTTGGAGACTTCCACAGTCGCAGCTGACTGTCACCACAGACCACAGTGAAGCCCCATCTGTGGCTTTGTAACTCTGCCCTACGAAACTGCCCCCTTTGTATAATTTGGCACTATTTGACATGACTAACAGCCTCTGTCTGCTCGGGGGAGCTGTAGGCCTGAGTCAATATTTAGACGAAGGGGCTGAATCAAACCGCGCTGTGTAAGGGAGTTTACTCTGCGGTTCACAGTGAGCTGTGGGTTAAGCACTCGTGCTTCCAAAGAGGCTAATTCAAATTCAAACCTGCTGGGATAACCCTGTTGCTGAGGCTGAGGAAGGGGAGGTGAGCTGTGGGAGGGAGAAGCTCTTTGAGGACCAAAAGTAAAGTTCCTTCCTTGGATGAGAGACTACCAAACCACCATTCTTTGGCCCCTACATCAACCTCCAGGCTTAAAGCCTGTTCCTCAAATCCTGTTACCAACCACACACATGGATCAATGAGTAAGTGGGTTCTCACTGTTAGAGAGCCATCTTTCCTATCCCAAAAAAAGCATCCTACTGGGCCTGGTGTCCTTGGAAATTGCCATGGAGGTGAGGCCTGAAATATACAGGTAGCAAGGGGTCCTGAAGTCCCTGCTTCTTCCTCATGAAAGTCTTCTGCAGCCAAGGGCCTTGGCATGATGATACCAGGCACAGTCATCCAGTCATAATATGGGATCCAGAGTCTAAGTGCTGCCATTGCATGGGCTGAAGTAAACTACCAGAGGAAATGCCAGTTACTGAGTCTATTATGTAGGCCTGAGCAAAAATTTAGAAACGATTAAAATGGTTGAAGGAATTTAAAATGTCATTCCCCTGCAAGTGTCCAATATATCTCACAGTGCTTTCCTAAGATAAGATCTAATAGATGTACATGAAAAAATGTGAATTGTGTCTTTGGGAAAACCATACTATACTATCATAACAAGAAAGACTAACAATCACTTACGCTCATTATCCCATTAAAAGCAGCTACAAAACCCATCCAGCTCTTAAGTCAGGCATTTCATTGAGGGACTTCTATGTTGTAAGAAACAGGTGGCAACGCAGCTTCTCCAGGCTGATCCAAGGCCAGAGGAGAAAATCTGTACATCCCACACCATGAAGCCTGTCCAAAAATTGGGATGGCTCCTGAGAGTCCTTATGCTGAGCAAAGCAGGGTTTAACCTTCAGTTTTCTCACACAGGTCATGTTTCATGAGGACTCTCTGGCAGGGTGGGCAGGCGTTTCCTGAGGCTGTCCAGCTGCTTGGAGCAGGGGAATGAGTTCTGCCCTGCCCTGCAGCAGCAACCCTGGCTGTGTGAAGGCTTTGTGCACTTATTTCCATGGCTGTTAATTCTGGCAAGTGGAGGATAGGTGGAAAATCAGCCATGTGATATTGGAGATGGCAATCTTGATAGTGTCACAGAGACACAGCTGTGCTAATCTCACGTCATTTTTGGAAGTTATGCTAGAAGAACTACTCTTTCCTTCCCATGACCTTATGGAACTCAATTAGCCTCCTACTCTGCATCTACCACGCATGAGATATTACTGTGTTGTGTCCACTGTTCCACTTCCAACCTTACCCCACCCCCCCCATGTATGCTGGAGTAATTTATTATTTCCTCAAGTTGTATTTTTGAGTTGCCCATTCCCCATGCAGTGTTGCTAAAATAAAGAGTACAAATCATTCCCAAAATAACAGGGGGAAATTTTCCATTGTCAAATTGCTTCTCAGATCTCTCTAATTTCATTTGTCACTAATCCCAACCACATAATTTTTGGAAGTTGAAATCTCTGCAGGTGTGTTCTCTGCAGGCAGTTTCCTAGATGCATTTGATTTATCATCCCCTGCTTTCACTGTGGAAACAAACTTCAGATTTTGGAGGTGAATGGCATTCAGAGGCAAAAGCACAAACTTCTACAGGACAGCTTGCCATCAAAAGACAGACTCTTTTGGGAAATTTCAGGGAATTCCAATTGCAGGAATTACAAGGCAAGCAGAAAAGTGTTGTGACAATTAACTCTTGTAAAATAGCTCTGTTTGGACAGGCCTGTTTAGTTATGTTGGCAGGAAAGTCAGAGACATGCTAAGCCAGCTCCACTGCAAAGTACAGCAGCTGTCTGCTCACAGCAGGCAGGGCATGTGTACATTTTGAAGTCTGAGCTGTATCTCTCCAGTCCCAAAACGCAGCGTCTCAGACCACCTCCCCCCTCACCCCCAAATCCTCCTGTATCGCTTTAAGGCTCAAATGATTAAGGTAATGTTTACCAGATGGGAGCTTTGACACAGACAGGTGAAAACAGAGAATTGCAGACACAGAGAGAGAAGGGAATTACTGTACCTCAGCAAAAGGCACCCAACTTCCAGTAGCTACTGCCTGCTGCTGCCCTCTGATAACAGTGGCTTCTTGCGTGCTGACCGCTGAGCTACCTTCAATGTCAAACTGAAAAACGCTTCCCTCACTCGAGGCTGTGCTGGAGGAGAAGCATCTCAAAAAGAAAAATACAGGAGAAATGAGGGGCCAGGCGGAGATCAAAGCCATTTCCTCCCCTTACATCCAGCAGTGGTCTTCTAGCGTCTCAGTAATTGTTTACCCTCTTCTGCAATCAGCCCCCCTTGGCTTAGTGGTGCCTCAGTTATTTTCACTTTCTTTCAGCATTCAGTTTCCAGATGTGGCACTTCAAGGCAGTCTAACCGGATCCCGATTTAAAAGAGGGGAAAAAAAAGAAAAAAAAAAAAGAAAAAAAAAGAAAAAAAAAGGAAAAGAAGGGAAGAAAAATGCTTTTGCTGCCTCCCTCGTTCTCTCTCCGTGCCTGTGGCTCCTCTTTTTCCCCAGAGGCTCCAGCAAAATAACATACAGATGGGCAGTGCTTAAGCAGAGAGTGTCAAACAGAGATTGTATTCCAGGAAAGCACCGCTAGCTCTCCAGCCACCTTATCTCCCCTTGTCAGGATACAGACTGACGCTCCGTTCAGTGCTCTGGCTTCCTTCACATGTTCACATCATTCCCTCTTTTACCTTTCGTGTGGAGACCCTCCCACTCAAACTTTACTGTTCAGAAAGTGAGGTCACCCTTTCCTCCCTCTCCACGCCAACCCCCCACAACTCCATCTGACTGCTGCAAACAAATCACTGACTCTCCTGACTGTTTATTTTTTAACATCTCCAGTTTATTCAACGGAAGGCAGAAAGGTGCCAAATTTATTAAATAAAAACCCGCTAGACTAGCCATTCCTTATGTCATGGGGGAGGGGAGGCTGTGGGCGGGAGGAGGAGGAGGAGGAGGAAGAGGAGGAGGGAGACAGCCTGGCTGTGCCATGGGCTAATAGGGCTAAGTGGTTTCTCTAACATGTTTCATTCAGTTCCTTTCCCTCAAGCCCAGTTCTCAGCTTCTCGCTGGCTCGTGAAAAAGAATATAGTTCACTGCGATTTTGGAAAATGACTTCATTCCTCAGGCTCATGAACTTTTATTTACAAAGAGCATCTTGTATTCCTTTTTCAAGAGATGCTTTGTGAGGCCTTGGTAACAAGGCTTGCAGTGTGTATGTGGAAGCGAGCTGAATATGTTGCCCACAGCTCACTTCATTTTGTGACTATGATCTCAAAAAGACAAGACAGTAATCCTTGCTAGGTTTTAGGATGAAGTCAGGGTATAATTATACTAATGTGCACTGCTCCAGCTAAGAGGTCAGCACCTTGTCCATCAGTGGTCCTGAATGCAGGGAGTGGTAGCACCATTGGCCAGTCAGGCTTCTTTCTTAAATCTTTGCAGAAATTGGCTTACCAGGCTTCATTTTGAGAGTGGATTTCTTCTTTTTCCCTCCCTTCATCCTTTCCTTTCTGGTTGAAGATATTATCAACCAAAGAAGCAGCCAGTAGAGATTTAAGACTAAAATGAAGACTTTTGGTGATCTGTTGACTTCCATACACCTGTAGGCACAGTTTTGGACCCATAAATGCTGTACAGAGGGACATAAGGAGGTTCACTGTGAAGAAAATATGCCTGATTCAGAAATGGCAAAGCTGAGCAGGCAAGGCCACTCAAGCTTGTGGGGCAAAGTATTCGCCCAGTAGAAAAGAAAATGCTGTGTGACATGAAGGTATGAGGTTCAGGACCAAGGTTAGGAGGAGGAAATAAAAGATATAAATGGTTAACTGAGGGTTATTCTATCCTGAGAGGAATAGAAGCATCTCTCTGTTAGCTGAATCTGACCTGGTGGCAAGCACACAGTCCTCCCAGAGCCTGAGGGTGAGATGTCACAGATGCCAGGACTTTTCTAATTCTTTCTGGTAATGGCAGCCCTGGAAATGGCAATTAACAGGTCTGAAGCAGGAAACAGAAGACCAGGGGGTCTTCAGGCAAGGTCTCCATGAGCATCCCATTAGGCTTTCTGCCACAGGGGCAATCTCGAAGTATAAAGATAACATTAAAGCAGGGCTAAGAAAGAGAACAAAACATCTTGAAAGTAAATGTTAGAATCACAATTCCCATGGTGGTAGTGGAAATTTTTAACTACCCAGTGAATTGTGGAGCAAATTGTCATAAAATGTGTGAGAAAAATTTTTGGATGTTTTTTGTTTTTTGAAAAAACTACTACCAACCAATCTTCTATGTCTGCTCCCAGGCATTTGGCTGGCCAGCTTGATAAGGCAGATTTTAAACTGAAAGACCTGGGGGATGATGCCCAAAGTGGCAGTGCTCACAGTGTCACATCAAGGTGGGAATAAGCAGGCCAGCCACAGCAGTGGCAAATGTTCCTCAGCTGCCTCTCAAGCTGAGAACCAGAAGGCCAGCCACTTAAAGTGTGTGTATTCCACCTGGGAAACTGGCATGCTCCATTACCCCTCTGAAATGCCTGTGCACCAAGGCACACAGCATGGGGAGTAAACACGAGGAATTAGAGGTCTGTGACACTCTCAGGGCCATGACTTTGGTGCAGTTAGAGATGTGGCAGGATAGCTTGCATGACTGGGGTGCTGTCATGGCTGAACATGTATTTAATGAAAGACAGGCCTGCAAGGTGAGGTGGTGGAGTTGCTGTTTATGTGAGAGAGCAAATTGAAGGGATGGAGTTCTGCCTAGGAGTGGAGGAAGAATGACTCACAAGCTTATGAGTAGGAATTTACTTGGGTAGCACTGTTGTGGGTGTTTTCTAGAGGCCACCTGCTCAGGAGGAAGCAGCATCCTGGGCCTTGTTCAGTGCAGACAACTGACCACCTGCACCCTGCACATTCCATTGAGGGACTTCCTTCAAGTATTCATCTGCTTCACCAGAGCAAGAAATGCCATTAGAAATGTCATTAAGGATGCTAAGATTACAAGTTCTTTGAATAAAGTCTGGTGTCTTTTGCACATACGTAGCAAGTAAGCAAATGAACTTCAGAGTATGATAAAGGTGTCTCGCCTAGTAGGTTAATAATAATGCAAAATGCCTGGAGCACATTTAGAGAAAAGAAAAAATATATTCTTGAAATGGGCAAAAGTTACCAAGTGAAAAAAAGATTGTTATACATTGTATTTCTTTATGTAAAATCAGAACAAAGATATTTGTATTCCTGTAGAAGAGTTCACCATGCTAATTTACAGCAGTTTGAGAGAGGAAATGCTGTAATTATTCTTAGGATCAAAATTCTAAAAGGCCGAAGCTGTCTGCTTAATATCTTTGTAAAATCCCAGACTGGCCTAAGGCATTAAAAATTTGAAAATTTTCATGTTGTGATTCTATATAACAAAAGAAATACAGATAATTTCAAATGGTGGAATTGTTAAGTAGTGAATAATTTATTCTAAAGAAATACAAAAAATACAACACAGCTCACAAGATCTGTCTCCCCAAATATATTGGTGCCATACAAGAAAAAATATGACCAAAGTCTTTTGAGCAGAAAATATTACATATGCCCCTAAATATCACTATACAGTGGAATAGCTTGCTAAAAACCAACTGCTTAAACAAGCATCTTTCTGCATTTAATTTAAAATACTTTAAAAGACTGTATTCCTTTTAAAAGAAGTGCAGATTTGTGTAAAAATTGAAAAAAAATTAAAAATATGCATAGAGTGCTTATGAAATATAAACCTTTAAATATAAATTTATGCTGTGATAGACTTCCAGTTTCTTAATCTTTGGCTGAGATGATGTGGCTGTGTAAGCAGCCTGAGATTTGGAACAGGACTTCTTCAATATGGCTGGGTGCAGAAACAGGAGTTCCTCCTTCTGTTTTCACTGTATCATCCTCTGTTCTTTTTATGAGTTCTTTCCCCCATCTTAAACATTTGGTTTTGATTGGCTGTGATAGACAGTAGAACTGGTGAAAGACAATAGGAAGAATCCAGCGGAAGGCTTATTACAAATAACATATTCCAAATTAACCAATCTCAAGCTTTTGTGTGTGGGCCACTGGTGGTTTGTCAGTTCCCATTGGGACATCTGCAAGCAGCCTGTTGAGCTCTAGTGCCAAATGTTACCAGTTGAACATCTGAGAATATTGCATGGTGGTCCAATGGAAATGTTGACAGTTGACTCATGCTTGCCATCCAAAATATTTCGGAACCAGTGTTCAAAGTACCTTTCTAAAAGTTAGAAGACGTTGGCAGCATATCTTTGTATCACCAAATGAATTATCTACAGTCAGAAACCTGCAGCAATCAAGGGGCATCAAGCAAGAATTTCTCCATCACAATTTGTGCCAGAGAGAGATGTTAATAGAATTGTACTTATGCAAACAAAACATCACTTTTTAAAACTTATTTCATGTGTTTTGGATTATGTCATACTAGGACAAGTCTCAGTTGGCAGGTGGAAGGTAGAATTTATGCTGTAGGGTTCAAGGATGTCATACTGTCAGACTCCAAGTTGTACCCCTGCAGGGAGTCGTAAGCATGCTCTTTGTTTCTTTGCCATACTATTTAAGGGCATCAGCTAATTATTTTCCCACATGAAGACATTTTAAAGCCAACAGTTCTCATCCCTCATGTTATTAGTTACTGGCAACACTGGGATCTGGCTCATTCCATGTTGCTTACAACCAGCCTCATAGTGTTTCTGTGCCATGATGCTTGTCACTGCCCAATTTCTCCACTGTAAAACTCTTCAATTAATCATGCCAAAATCTTACAAATCTGATGGAAATGTACTTAGTACTACAGTATTAAAGACAACCTCATTTACCAAGAAAGATGTCTGAATGTTTCCATTTCCAGAGTATAACAGGGAAAGAGCTGCCTCTCTCTCTTGCTAAAAGCCTTCTCCTTGGGAACTGTATGGACCTTGCAGGATTAGGAATGAACCACAACGTATGTAATACTGGATAACTTGAAAAACCCAACTGGTTGCTAGAAATCAGTCAGATTTATAGTAGTGCTTTCCCAATCCAGTGTCCTCTCCCCAGAGGTAACCAATAAGTAATAATAACATTTTCACATTTTTTCAATATGAAAGTCTGTGGTGGTTTGACAGGAAATTTGTTTTCTGGGATGCTGTGGTCAGGCCAATGGATGCTCAGATTTTAATATTGGCACCTAATGTGGCCATTGGGACA